TAGCCTGGTGGTTAAAGCGTTCGCTCGTCTCGTCGAAGACCCGGGTTGATTGCCGACATGGGTACAATGTGTGAAGCCCATTTCTGGTGTCCCCCGCCGTGATATTGCTTGAATATTGCTAAAAGCGGCGTAAAACCATACTCTCTCACTCACTCACTCATTGTTTGTTTGTTGTTTAACGCAAAACTCAGCAATATTCAAGCTGTATGACGGCGTCCTGTAAATAATCGAGACTGGACCAGACAATCCAGTGATTGACATCATGAGCATCGATCCACGCAGTTGGGATACGATGACATGCATCAACCAAGTCAGCGAGCCTGACCACCCGATCCCGTTAATCACCTCTTACGAAATCGTAGTCGCCGTTTACGACAAGCATGCAATACAACAGAGAGGACAATAATGTCCCTAACTAAAACCACGTGATATATTAACCTTTTCACTAGGCTCTTTGTCCCAATATCCGACTCTGGTTTATCCGAACATGAAAGTTTCTGGTACAGTGATTTGGAGGTTCAATGAATTTCCACACGTTATATGGGCGGTCGTGCAGCCTAGTGGTTTAAGCGTTCGCTCGTCACACCGAAGACCCGGGTTTGATTCCCGACATGGGTACAATGTGGAAGCCCATTTCCGATGTCCCCCGCCGTGATATTGCTGGAATATTGCTAAAAGCGGCGTAAAACCCTACTCACTCCACACGTTACTGTCACGGTACAATCTATATGGCATCTTATATATTTCTTTCAGCCAATATTGCAACTTTCTGAGCCTTAAGTGAACAAGTGAATGCTGTGTTTCCTCCTCACCGTGGAACTTTCCTTACAACTAATTAATAGTTAAACAGCTATCGTTACCAAGATTCAGTCATGACAGGGTGGTAATAATGTGTGCTCAAGAAAATTACTTGTTGTTGAATCAATGAATCAATGAATTCTAAATTCCTCTAAAGTAACAGGCCAAATAAACGTGAAACCAGCCATGACGTGTCGAGTAACATCACCTAAGTAATTCTCCGTAACGAAGTTAAGAATGCCTGCTTGACTATCGCAATTAGCCGCAGCCCCAAGGTATCTAAATTTACGACCCACGCGAATCGAGTGTTTCGTCCCCTCTAAAGAGCCAGCTGCGATTATTTCAAGTGTCATCTTTGTTAACACGATATCCTTCAATTGTTTGCTGAGTGTCTTCAGATTGAGATAGGGGCCGAACAACACGAGTAGGAAACCGATCTTGCCATCGACTTTACAACAGCGTAGCTGGAGGACTGGGGTGTTCAGTCATCCATACACGACTCTACCTGGCCGGGTAATTGAAATGTTTTCAGCCAAGGATTTCATTGTGTTCCGTCTTTGCCTAGGGCTGTTCAATTCACAGGCAGACTCCGGTAAAACTTTCGCCATTTTCCGAATGATTTGGTGTGAAAACACGACATCCGCGTTTAATCCCCTCCTGTGGTTCGCCCCCGTCATTGCAAGTACAGATTGTGACCCCCAAATAACGCCGTGGCCCCCCTCATTTCCCCATCCCACCCGGGCTTCCACCAATTGTTCGGAGTCCAGACCTTGGTTGAAATTTCACGCTCAATATACATTGCCTAGGGCGGAGCTAAGACCATCTAAACTCATGTAGATTCGCTATCCATAAGCTAAGTGTTGTACGGGAGATCATTCATATCGCTACCATAATATTTTCTCTTCAGTAGGTAAGGATTAACACTGTATATACGCTCAATTCAATTTGAATGATCGCGGTAATCTACTCACATAAAGACGCAATAGTGTGGATAGTTGTAAGGAAAACAGCTTGAAACACAATTGTCACCAGCACATAACCCCCGCCAGGGGGCAGCAAAAGGACTGAAATCCCTTGTTGACTTCCTCTTAGGCTCCGAGCGCCGGAACTCGATTCCCATGACATGAACCAACACCCCAGCCCCCACCACTCTTCTCACCACGGCAATAGCCCGGGGGTAGCAGCACACAGGAGGTGGTGATAATCTCAATCTGGTGCTTACAGTGGGATCGTCGTCATACGGTCGTGTCTTAAAGGGGGTCTAGGCTCGGGCATGTTAGCAGTCCTGTTAAATTGATTCAAGAGTGAGTTTGAACATTGTTCCAGTTCACAGAAAGTCCGTTGTTATGCGGGTATTACGCGTTTAGCACTTTGGTGAAAGCCACGAGCACGGGTATGGTGCTGATAATCCTAGAACCATGCAAATTGATATACGAACCCACGATCCTAAGATCCTGGCACGACCAAGGGTCGCAACTCTGTGTAACGAACTTACACAACTGGGCCACCCGTGCCCTCAAGTAACCATGAAGTAATGCTGTTATTTTAGTCAAACATATACTTTCGTCATTGATTCAATCACACAGTACGGTAAAAACACACCAGAAATCAATTAACATTAAATAGACCCTTTCTTATAGCCCTTATCAGTAATCCTATGAAATACGTAGCCAACTAAAACGACATAAGAGTGGCGGAAGATTAAAGCGATTGGTAAATAAATAAACAGGCACGAAATGTGGTAGTAATTTGAAACTACATAAAACGGAGTCATTTGGCCAGATAAAGCCTTCATTTGCAAAGGTCATTGAAATGCTAATTGATTCGTAGGAAAATACTACCGATATATTCCAATTAAAATCGTCCAGTGATAGACATGTTCCTGTCGACGTAGTCTATGGGGTAACTTCCAGGGCAGGCTAGCACGGGGATGGGAACTCTTGATATAAACCATTGGCACAAGTGCTTGCCATTACAAGGAAACACATCGCCTGCCCACCAACTTGCGCAAATACAAAGGTAAAAGTCTTTAATCATGCACAAAGTAGGTTCCCCAGCACGCTTGGCAGAGGTTCCCAGACAGACGAAGTGTTGGTTGGAATCGGGGAATTTGTTTACATTGAGACAGATGAACATGCAACTAGACTCAGTAGTGATTTCTGGGAGCTATTTCGGCGGCGCTACATCCGACTGATCCAGGACCTGTTTGTCTACACGCAGTCGTATAAAAAACAAAGCACAAATGTACCCGTCGATATTTCCTCACACATTTTTAGATAGAGACGTTGATTTGTAGGCAGCTGTGGTTGGTGCTGGCATGTGTAGGTGCAGACGAGGAGCGGCGTTGATTAATGGCAACATTTACTGTCATACACAACAGGATAGATTGAAAACTTGAACTTTTAACCACCCAACCTAACTCCCTTTTTTTTCATTTATGGCGGCTTTGGTGTTTTTTTGTGCTAACATTCGCTGAATTCCAACAAATTAACTTTCATACATGGTATTAAGCTTTGAGTAGTTCTTTGACCTTTCCAAAGTATATAATGAAGGGAAGAGTATTCTATGCAACGATTAACATTAATGAATGGCCAACAATATTCTGTATCAGTTTTCCAAATCAGCTACCGGAGAGGTTTCAGTTCATCCGACCCTTGATTTAAACATTGATATTCAAAAGAGGATGCATATTCGACCTTTTTTAGGGCTTTTGGTGCTGATTGTTTTTTCTCCGCATTTTGTTCCAAGGGAACCTTTCGATAAATCTTCATCTATACCTGCTATATATTTTCATGTACACATCGAATTTCGGCACGTCCATTTCCGCAAATCGAAGTGATACATCGACGGGTTACAATAAGGTCTTCTTATCCCTGGGTACACAACAATGCTATCAGGACCAAAACGACATCGTCGGTGCGCCTGGCCAATCTGGCATAAACCTTCATATTAGATATAGTTAGGCTTGATACACTGGAATGAAGATCACAGAGTGACTAGGCAAGATTGGGGTGTTAGAACACAATGTGTCAATGCGAATTTCACCCACGATATATGTCCCATATATATATATATATATATATATATATATATATATATATATATATATATATATATATCATGGTTCTTGTATTATACTTTGGTGAGGTGTTCATGAGTTGATGGCCGGGAATTCTTGATTATCAAGTGCATCATATCACAATTCCATGATGCATACCCTTGACCCATTCGCCACCATAGCCTCGTTTTGAACCCGATTCGAAAGGCCATAGCCAATCAAATTACTCTCACGAGCGAGAACAGTTCTATTCTAACTTATTTATAGGGGACATGTGGTAACGTCCCGAAGCTATGGGGACAGATAGATCCAAGGTGTAAATCATAACATTATACAATACAATAACATGTAATACAGTAATATGATACACCGGACAATCGAGCATGCCTGAGGAGACAGATATTAGTCATTCGTCACCACTCGCCCCTTTCCGTAACCTACAAGAAGACTCGTCCCCTCTATCGATGAATGTTATGTGCGAATATACGACAAACCAATCAGAATGCGCGTATGATTTCAAGTTCTTCGTCAAAGAATCCCTCAGGAATATTTTTTGATTTTACATATGTCTTGCATCTAAAGATATACCGAAGATACAGTTAAATGTGTTCAATCATACTGTATAATTCCGCACGTCCCGATGTGCTTTAAATTGCATCTGAAATATATATATTATATATGGGGAAATATATACGTGAACCATTACGGAACGAGTTAACAATTGTTTTAGGTATGCCCGTTTGCGCTAAGACGGAACCCGGTCGCAAAAATGGCTACGAGAGGGGCACGAGTCGGTATTCGGCTTGTCCCGGAATAACACGAGTTGGTCACGAATGAGATATTAGTTAGACCATCGTTTGTCAATGACGTGTCCACGAGGGTCATTCCTATTGCCCAGCAGTATATACGCAGGCGTACGGGTTCTGTTCGGCACATTGCTGAAATGAGTATTAATCAAAAGTAATTTCTTGGTGTTCCTAGTGGTTAACTATTGTTTGTTTGTTAACGCCGCACTCAGCAATATTCCAGCTATATGACGGCGGAGGTAACTGTCGCTACTGAATTCCAAAGGTAGCCGCCAATAATGTTCACTCACTATGTGTGTCGTTTTATATTTGTACAACGTTTCTTCATGTTTTGGCAGGATCTCTTGGGACGGCTGGTCGCGTGTGCAATAGGTCCTCAATGGGCACCGATGGCTGTGACATCATGTGTTGTGGGAGGGGATACGACACCAAGACGGTTAGAAAAATAGAAAAGTGTGAGTGCAAATTTCACTGGTGTTGTTTCGTCCGATGTAAAGAGTGTCACAAGATGGTCGACGTCCACACGTGCAAGGGTCCCAATCCAACGCCACCTCCTGCTAGTCGCAAGACACGTTTCTAGCCAACACTTAGTCCAGACCTGGAACCTTTTAGACTCATCGTAACGTTGGCATGCATCTGCTGTGCAGATAAGACGCTGTGTTCTTCTTTAATAAAGTGGATGAAGACGTTGCTGACGACGTGACGACTTCCAGACGTTGTTGAACAGCGACGGATACAACTGCACGGGGTGTTAAACAAGATCGCTGTGGCTGTTCTCAGGATGAAGAACGGTTGTCAGAGCAAAGTATTGAATGGAGAAATGACAGACGAATGCTTGAAATACGCTGTTTTATGTCTAGACCAAACGGGCTCATGTAGATATATTCTCCAGTGCAACCTAATGTTCGCTTCTCTCGCAGTGTTTAGACTCCTGTGTTTGGTGTGTGACCTTGCAAAGCCTGGGAGGTTTACCTAGGAAAGCCATGCTCATGCACGACTACATATATGTGATTTATTATTTTATGTGAGCTGATAGATGTGTGTGAAGCGACGCATATGGTGGCTGCAGCTTACTGTTACTGTTTTGTGACCATAGAACCCTAGGCTGTGAGAACATACGATACAGACCGACGACACAGAGAGGAGGAACCTGAAAGTGTCCGAACACAAACTTCAGCAAACACAAGCGTGTTTATCACGGAACGGATGGGAGGAAGGTTGACGATAATCGCCCTGTGTTGACAATGAAAGCATTCGTTGATTCGTCACCTTCTGAAACAGGTCCGTGCCCCTCATTGCCAAAATACAGAGTGTTTGTCCCCAAAACAGTGCTTGTTGAAAGAAAATAGTGGCAGTGTAGCATCTTCATCCCTCGTGATGGTGGTCCTCGTGCTCTTTGTATGTGTTTTGGGGAGGGGAGATTCGGCGTGACGGGGTGTCGGTTCTCAGTGGGAAACGAATACTGGATTGACGTAAAAGCAAGACTTTCCCTCAAACGGAATCGGAATGGACGATGAACGATGTTAGTGTTTATGTAGAATCGTCTGTTCTTATTTATGATCTGAGGTTTATTTGTACTTTGCCTTTAAGTATAGTTGAATATGATCTTACCTGATATGCATAAAGAACATGTTTCAATCTTGTGCGGGGATGGCAGCAATACGTTGGCGCCTTAGAAAATGTGATAGCAAAGGTGTTTAATACACTAAGGCGCGAATCATACCTATTGCTGCCATTCCTGCGAGTACTAAAGATCCCTGTGCGAATGGTATATTGAATTGAATGGGCCATGTGTGGTAAGAATTTTAGTGCTTTCATTTGCATTGTGTTTGATTTTGTGCTTACTTGTACAATACTTTTCTGTAAGATAGAATCTAACAGAGAGTCCAAAGTTTAGAAACGAAACAAGACTTGGCGTATGCATTTTCTTTAAATAAATAGTTATATCTTAAGTAAAAATTTATTTCACATTGTTTAAACTAATTTTAATCAGATTTTAGCAAATGTATTACAAAAACACGTCATTTGATTGTGGAATATGTGTAACTGCCATTTTGGTTTATCAAAAGACGTTACATTTTAGACATTGTTATGTTAACCTGCCGGTAAGACGGCATTGTTGGGTGGTGTTTTTCGGTTATTTAATTTAATTTTGAAGGGGGAAAATGAAATAATGTTTGGAGTTTCATGCCATGGATGTGAATGCAGTGTATTTATGCTGGCACGTTGTTAGGCGTCCTTTGTTACTGAGGCTCTGTGTGATGTACATAGACTCGACATTTTTCAAATGTACCTGTGTAGATGCGTGTCAGACCCGTTTCTATTAAATCCATTCTCAAACGTAATGTCTGTATTTTGCTTTATCATTGAAAACAGTGAATAATATTCTGGTATGAAATGCACAATGTCCAGTTCACACACCTACATGTGGGTAAGTCTTTGAAGAACTTTGATGAGGTAGTCTGGTTTTTGTTTGTTTATTTGTTGTTTAACGCCGCACTCGGCAATATTCCAGCTAAATGACGGCGGTCTGTAAAATAATCGAGTCTAGACAAGACAATCCAGTGATTGACACCATGAGCATCGATCCACGCAATTGGGATACGATGACACGTATCAACCAAGTCAGCGAGCCTGACTACCCGATCCCGTGAGTCGCCTCTTACGACAATCATAGTCGCCTTTTACGGCAAGCATGGGTTGCTGAAGACCTATTCTATCCCGGACCTTCACAGGTCAGGTAGTCTGGTGGCTCAACTCGAAAGCGTTCGTTCATCACGCCGAAGACACAGGTTCGATTCCTCACATTGGTGTGAAGCCCAAGTCTGTTGTCCTCTCCGTAATATTGCTGGAATATTGCAAAAAGGGCGTAAAACCATACTCACTCACTTTGGAGATTCTAGTTGGAATTTCAGAGAGTGCTGTTATTCCGTGAACCTTATTTCCATGACGACCAAACCGTTAGTCCACTTTACTCCCCTTATCTGTTTATACCGGATTGTGTGATTGAAACAGGATTGACAATGTATGTTATTTACAGCCTTTTTGAAATGTTAAACCTCATATCTCAGGTGCGGATTCTGACATCGGTGTTTTGACATTTATAGTTTAATCGGTAATAAATAAAGCGACAAAAACCCTTTCCATATCAATATAACTCTCTGCTTAAAGCAGAGTCCATTGTACGATTCCGACTATATCATGAGCATGTGTTTGTGAATGGCTATCAAATAGTGATGACACCAGGTGTTCGCGAAAAGGTGTTCGTATCCTGCTCCACGGGTGGCACCCGTCACAAACGTTTATATTTTTATAACGGTTGACTGACGTTTGTCTTATTTGCTATTTATATATTAATCGGTTATTTGATATTTATATTTTATATGGGGTATTTGACTTTAATCTGCTATTTTATGTTTTTTATAATATAGTTGGCTATCCCCCATTTAAGATTAAGGTAACAAATGTGTGCGTTTCGGATAAATCTATTATATCAATGTGTAATAAAGTCTTTTGTTTAGGTCGAAATAAACTCAATAAACCAGATGATTGGATAACAGTTAAATTCACATGAAGTAGATAGTGCCTGGATAAAGGAAACATAAAAGACAATTATCTTATTGCCCGGAAGAGAAATTCGAAGGTCTTATTAAAGAATATATAGAATGCAAGAGTTCAGGTCAAAATGGATACACCTATAGTACATAGATTCAACAGATAGGAATTAATCTCAATTACTGCTTATTGTTTTAACATTAATGGTTCGGATTGTATTGTATTAACATTGAATCAAGGGACTTCCTGTGAGAATTTAACCTTTGACTTGATAGCTGTAAGTCGATGACCCCCACGGTGGTTCATTGCTGGGGTATGTCTCTCTGGCCAGTAACAACCCGACCTGGTATCTAGCTAGACCTCCTACAGGTGGAGAAATGACAAGCATCTGAAATTGTATCCACGTCAACACAAAAACGTGGCTACGGCAACATTTACATTTCTGTTCTGTCTCTCCCCCTTGGGGATATGGCCCCTCCCAAACTACCCCCTTATGTTAAAGCTGGGGGTTAGAATACAGTCCATTAAAGGCCGTGTTTATTCAGACAATTCACGCCAGGTGAAGAACTTCAAGAGCGTTGCACAGAAAGGAGCAGAATTACGTTCGCGTGTCCATGGTGAGAAATGGTTGGTGTTTTAGAAATGATTAGATTATTTTCACACGTGGACTGCAGTGGCGGTGAAACCTCACTAACAAAGTCACTGGGACCATGGGAAATATGTCGAGTTATCCAGAGTTCGAGACAAACAGAGTATCGATATTATATGCTGATTCTGATTAGACCATAATGCTACATCGTCATAAAAGATGTTTCCATGTATTGATAATGAACACTCGTTAGCGTGCGCTTATAGCCTTTTTTCTGTTGATCGTGTTGATAATAATGATGATAATAATATTAAAGATATAACTTGAAATATATTGTATAAAATTAATTCTTGTGCAAAATAAAGTAATAATGATGATGTTACTACTACTACTACTACTACTAATTGAGCAATTTGGGCTTTGAATATAATTTCAGAGTACATGTATACTGGTATATCACGGCATGCCAGCTTAATGAAAGTGGGAACTGTTTGACTACTACTACTACTACTTCTACTACTACTACTACTACTACTACTACTACTACTAATTTTAAAATATTTTTATTATTATTATTATTATTAACGATAAGGATCATATGGAGATGTTGGTCCATTGTAGATTATTTATTTGAAACATCGCTCGCAGCACTGATGACGTAATACATCATAACTACAAACACAACCGTCCTAGTGTTTGAATGTTTCATGTCAAGTCTGGCTCCTGCAGCCATATCATTAAAACCATCGTGAATTATTCATTACCGAGCCCTGATTTCATAAAGGTCAACACACGTTATCAATAGATTTAATTTCAATACAGTCTATAGCAAAACGGGCAATTTCTTGTCTCAGAAATATTCTTCCCCATAAAATGAATAATCATCAACTAACAAAACCAATACATTTACAGCTTCTTTCATTCCTTCAACAGAGTAATCCCATTGAAGGAGGGAGCGTCACTCGCGTGGTCATTGGCTCTTGGTTAAAGGCCACACAAAACTGGACACGGCAAATATTATTGGACGATTTGCTTTAAAGCAAATTCATTCGTAACTCGGGGTCTTTCAGCAAATGGCGATAATTTACCTCCCACTGGTATCATTGCTTGCTTGTTATGCTACCATTGTCGTCGCCCGCTTGTCCCAGTGATACGAGAAATAGTCTCGTGTTATAAATCTTTGATCGTTTTAACCAAGTCATTTAGATCCATGCCTGCTTCTACACCCAATTCTATAGCGAATATAGTCGGATTTCCTCGTCCACATTACAAGTAATGCTTAAGTGGGATAATATTGACACTTTCAGCTTTGAAGCGGAGAATATCCAACATAAATTCTTCTTCTCTCGTTTGATGCGCGCCCGTCTTTTCAGCGAGCACAAACAAGCCTGAGGCCAATGCCGCTGTGACGTGTTTAAAGTGACGCTGTGGGTTCATTACTAGTATGGCTTCAAAGCAATAGAATGTTCCAAAGTAAAGGCGGGATGTCTCACAAAGTAGCAATATTATTGGGTATTTTTTTTCTTGAATTAATGAAACAAAAATAGAGATATTTGAAAATTGTGTATCTAATGTTAACATAAACAGAATCGACTGCAACGTTTTACGTACCCCTAAGCGATGCATTTAGTTCATGCGGCTGCTCTTTTGGTTCTTGTAGTTAAGCAGAGATAGATCTTTGGCGTATAAAGCCTTGAAACGTACCGAACTACACAACAAATGAACGATATTAAAGGGCCATATTAAATTGAAAGCTTGCCTGTAGGTGAGAGTATTTGGTAAAAAGGTTTTCCATTTCGTATTAAACATCCATCGCGTGTGGTGCTAAAACTGTAATAACAGTCAAAGGATAATGCATGCTTTCTTGCCTAATGTTATATTATCCATTATGTTTATGCTTGGTGATATAGTCTTCATTTGGTTAGTCTTTTAAGTATTTATCGGTTATATTTTCACGCTGTCACAAGACAGATTCATAAAACGAAAATAGATATCGACTGACGATTGACACACTGGAAGTGATGCGCATGCGCATATACTTCGTCACTGACTTCAACGGAACGGAACGCACGTGCTGCAGGTTCATCTAGAAATGAATAATTCAGAAGATTTCATTGGACGAGAACTTCTTACATTTGAAACACACGTAAATGATTATATACTGTAAATTGACAGGAGCGGTTGGGTAGCCCAGTAGTTAAACCGTTCGTCCGTTAAGTAGAAGCCCAGAGTTCGAGTCCCCACGTGGTTACATGTGTGAAGCTATTTCTGGTGTCCCTGCCTTCATATTGCTCGAGGGGCAGTCGGGTAGCCTAGTGGTTAAAGCGTTCGCTCGTCACGCCGAAGACCCGGGTTCGATTCCCGACATGGGTACAATGTGTGAAGCCCATTACTTGTGTCCCCCGCCGTGATATTGCTGGAATATTGCTACAAGCGGCGAAAAACCATACTCACTCACTCACTCATATTGTTTGAATAGTGCTCCGGTGGCGTAAAACCATACTCACTCACTAGTAATGTGGATTAAGCGTTCATTCATAACGCCGATGATCCGGGTTCGATTCCTCACGTGGTACACTGTGCAAGGACCATTCGCCATGCTGCTGCTATAACGCTAAAACGGCATAAAATCTCACTCACTATACAAGTATGAAATACATCTCAGTACTGCATGGACCTGTGAAGATCCGGGTTAGAATTGGTCATCAGCAACCCATGCTTGTCGTAAGAAGCGACTAATGGGGTCGGGTGGTCAGGCTCGCTGTCTTGGTTAATGCATGTCATCGTCTCTCAATTGCGTGGATCGATGTGATAACAATCACTGGACTGTCTGCTCCAGACTCGATTATTTACAGACCGCCGTCATATAGCTGGAATATTGCCGAGTGCGGCGTTAAACAACAAACAAACAAATAGTACCGAGTGGCAACACCATCAAAGCTAAACCTTCGCAGGCCTAAATCTCAAGTTGTTCTCATTCTTTAGAAATATAAGCGAGTGAGTGAATTGTGTTTATGATACAGTAATCAGTAAAAAAACGTGGATGTTATAAATCCTTGCTGCCACTAACCCTTCAACGTGGACAATAACCTCATGCTTGTTTGGGAGCCAGCTGACATGGACTGAAAAGGATTCTTCCTTGATTGCATGGACCGATGCCCATGCTTCCAATCACCGGCTTCCTGATATACACGCCGCTGT